CACTGTAGATCTGGACTGCTCTCCATTTCTCTTTCTGCCCTGTTCCTGTGGTTTCAGGCATGTAGGGCAGCAAGAGGTGACCGTTGGGAGCACTCAATGTGATAGCTCATCACCTGCTCAAATAAAAGCTTGAACTTCGTGGAGACCGTTCGAACTAAGAACTGTTGTTTTCCTCTAGATCGCTTCTAATCTTTTTGTTAATCTGTTCCGTTGCCGTCTCGAGACACATTGCCACTTGCTCAGAATCTCGAGTCTGGCTAGTTGTGCTGGAATGTCTGAAAGGTGCCCCAGACTCTAAGAAAATAAGATTGTGTCAATCCCAGCCTTCTCCTGGCATCAGCAAGGTGACACTCATCCTTCCAGTTTTGGAGGTGGAGCTTTATGCTTGTCTCACTAAGGTCCCTCAGCACATTTCCTAAATAAAAACTGAAATAGGATAAGAGCATCCTCTGCCATTCCCTCTGGCCCATGACCTCACTGTCCACCCAGAGCAAGTTAGGGTGCTGGAAAAGAATCGGGGGTGGCCCACCACGCAGCAGAGTGGCTAAGAGCGTGGGCTGTGGAGCCAGACTGTGGGGATTCAGTCGTAGCCCCTCCGCTCGATAGCTATGTGACCTTTGGCCAATAATGTGCCAGCTCGGGACCTAGGCTTCATGGTCTGGGGACTGGAGATGGTAAGAGTACCTACCTGGCAGGATTGTCATGAGAAGTAATTGGAGTGAATGTAAGTAAAGTGCTTGGAATAAGGACCTGTGCAAAGCCAGTGTTGCGTAAAGGTTAGCAACCATCATTTTGTTGTTTTCTTGCTGTAGCCATCACTATTTGTTCTAGTTACTGCAGCTGCATAAGAAATTACCCCACGAGGTAGGTGGCTTAAAACAGCCACAGGTTGTGCACACAGATTCTGTGGGTCAGGAATTAGGACAGGGCACAGTGGAGACATGTTGTCCCTGCTCTGTGATGTCTGGGACCTCGGCTGGGAGGACTCAAGCAGGTGTGCGCTGGAATCCTCCGAGGGCGGGGCCAGCCCCGTGTAGGGCCTGTGGCGTTTGCAACCCAACTGGAGACCCCAATAGGCAGGAGACACAGAGGTGTGGACTTAAGGATGCATCCTTGCCTGGAGACAAGAACTTGTGAGTCAGGACATGGCCCTGAAAGCCCCGAGCCTGGCTGAGCTCACCAAGGGCGGCCGAGTGGGTGTAGAGGGAGAAGCGCCCCAGCACTGGGCCCTGGGACACCCACAGGTGGCCGAGAAGACAGGGAGCTAGCAGCAGAGACTGAGGAGGGGCGGCCAGAGGCGTGGAAGGGACCCCAAGAGTGCCAGGCGGGTCCTGGAACATGAGTGAGGCTCCCCGGGGCGGGGGGCGCTCAGGGAGGAGGGAGTGATCGGCTCTGTGGGGTGCTGCCGACGGTCGAGGGAGATGAGGCCCCAAACGCTCACCGGGACTTGGCATCAGGATCATGGAGACCTGGACAAGAGAGGTTTGGGGGGGGCCGATAGGAGCGGATGGGAAAGGGGAAATCGGGGACAGCGAGTGCAGACCACTCTTGGGAGGGGCCGCGCTCTGGCTGTGGAGAGGACGACAGAGAGTTCTGCAGTTGGAGGAGGATTTGGGGTCGAGGAGAAGCCGGAGGGTGTGTTCAGAGGTGAGAGATTGCAGCCCTTCCCACGCGCCTGCCCAGGGCCCCCTGGGAGGAGGGATGTGCTGAGGCGTGAGGCAAGGAAGAGCTCAAGCTGCTCAAGCTGGGGAGGGGGCTTTGCCCCGGAGGAGCCGGCCCCTCCTCGAGAGCCCAGCTCCGGGGGGCCGTCCTGCCCCAGGTTCTCACCGCTCTGGACCGAGATGCGTCTTGTCGGAAGCATAAGTTGCGCCAGAAGCTGGAACACATCATCACCCTCCTGTCCAGCAACAGTTAAGGGTGGCGGAACCGGTGAGGAGGGGCCTTTTCGGTCCTGAGCTGTCCTCCCGTTGAGGGGGCGGCTCACGCCTGGGTCTGGGGGCTGAGCCCTGGATCGGGTGGCACGGGGGAGGTCACTGGGCCAGTGTGCCCCTGGCACACCTGGGCCCCTTCATTAGTGCCTTGCTTTGGGCCCCACCGGGGTGGGGGCTGGGGCGGAGGGGGAGAGGATGACAGGACCAAGCCCCGCACCCCAGCAGCAGCAATACCCTTAGCCTCCTGCCCTTGTGCCCAGGTGTTGCCACGGCCCCTGCCTTCCTTGCTATGTATACCCTCAACCATGTATTTACTTAATTTACCGCCACCTCACCATCTCCATCTGTAAATGCGTGTCCCCCCCACCCCAGCCCCCGCTCCCCGGCATGTTGCCAGCCTCACTCACTGGCACTCTGCCCTGGCCTCCCTCAGCCTGTCCTCAATGTGGGAGGTGGAGAGAACCTGCTAGGATGTAATGCAGATCATGTTGTCGCTGTGTTCAAATCCACCCCCCCCCCCGCCTCCGCCAGTTGCTCCAGTGCACCCAAACTCCCTAAAATCTGGCAACTCCTTCCTGTCCCGGCTGTATCTCCATCATGGTGAAGCTAGCGACCTCTTCTTCCCTCCCCGCCCGTTAATGCTGGGTGAAGGAGGAGAGCTCGGCCAGGCCCCAGGAGTGTTCTGGGCCAGGAGAATGGCCTTTGACGAGATCCGGCTGACAGAGACCATGGTCTGACAAAGGAGCACACCTATCTGGGGCTGCTCTGTGCCAGGCAGGCAGCGTTCTCGGAGCTGGGATACTGCAGGGGTAATAAGTAACGCAAGGGGTGAGAGAAGCGGGACGCAGGCCAGGAAAGCCTCTCTGAGGGGGTGACATCTGAGAAGGACCTGAAGGAGGTCAGGGAGTGAGCCAGGTGGAACCCCGGGGAAGAGAGTTCCAGACAGGAAAGAGGCCAGTGCAAAGGCCCTGAGGTAGGTGTGGGCCTGGGTGTTTCAGAAAGGGGAGGAGGCCAATGTGGCTGGATCAGAGTGAGCCAGGTAGAGAGGGGAGGAGAGGAGGCCAGAGAGGAAGCAGGCCGATTCACATCGGACTCCGTAGGCCACCATAAGGACCTTGGCTTTGTCTCTGAGTGAGAGGGGAGCCCAGGGAGTGCTGGGAACAGGGGAGTTTCGTGACCTGACTTAGGTGTGAAAGCTGCCTGCAGCTTCAGCAGTCCATCCGTGGGGCCAAGGTGGCAGACTGATTCTGGGCTTTGCTGCGTGATGGAGGGAGAAGCAGATTGAAGTGGGGGCCCTAAGGCCCAGCGTACTGTAGATTGAGCTGCAGGCAGAGAGGATCCTGGACATCTGCAGAGGGTCCCTCTTGAGTATTGAGGAGAATGCCGATCAGCACAGGCATGGGAGGAGACTACCCTCATCCTGGGAAAGGATCACCAGAAAGGATTAAAGGTTAAACAGGACCTAGGTGAGCACCTGTGCCCACCGGCCTTCACGGAAAACCTCCTAATTCGAGTGACATGGGATACAGTACTCAGAGGGATCTTGGATCGATAGTCTGGAAAATAATTCATTCTACAGTAAAAGCTGCTCTGCTCCTACATAGCAAACCCTCAAAGTGAGACTCAAAAGGATCAAACTGTTTCTAAGGAAGTTGACAACATTCGATAAGGAAAAAAAAAAAAAGCCCAGGAATATATTTAGGAACACAAACATACCCAGCACCCAAGGAAAAATACACACAGTCCGCACTGAAAAAATAACCAGATATGCCAAGAGTCAAGAAAACCCAACCCATTACGAGGAGATAAGTTAATCAGTGAAAGGCATCCCAATCGGAAAGGAAGAAGTAACACTTTATCTGCAGACATGATCGTCTGTGTAGAAAATCCAGTGGAGTCTACAAAAGAGTGACTGGACCTCCATCCGTGGTTTGGCAACATTGCAGGAGACAAGACGTGTTAGAGGGAGCTAACCTTCCCCCCGAGACACTTTGCCAGTTGTCCCCCACTTTTCTTCACTGACCTGGAACAAGGCCAGCCAGCCACAAAATTCCTATTTAGTGCTCCTGGGTCTTTTCTCTTTTCATGCAAACTAAGTTTTTATTTTAGTAGAGAACCAACTCAGTGGTGACAAGAACACTGGAAAACCAGAAATCTGGTAGGAGGCAGATTTTCTGAAGAGCAGTTGTGATCAAGAGTCTTAAAAAAGAGGGGCTGGCCCGGGGGCCGAGCGGTGGGTACGTTCGCGCGCTCCGCTTCAGCGGCCCCGGGTTTCGCCGGTTCGGATCCTGGGCGCCGACATGGCACCGCTCCTCAGACCACGCTGAGGCGGCGTCCCGCGTAGCACACCCAGAGGCACTCACAACTAGAATATACAACTATGTACCGGGGGGCCTTGGGGAGGAGGAGGAGGAGGAGAGGAGAGAAGAAGAAGAGAGAGGAGGAAGAAGAACTAAGAAGAAAAGAAGACTGGCAACAGATGTTAGCTCAGGTGCCAATCTTAAAAAGGAAAACAAAAGAAACAGAGTCTCCAAAAAGAAAAAGAAAAGGAAAGGTTTAGGTCAATACTTCTACCTTTGGGAATCTATCTTAAGGAAATAACCATTCACGGAAAGACTTACAAGAATTCCATTGAAAAAACTGGAAACAATGTAAATGTTCAATATTACATTATAATGCATCGTTTACGCATCCATTCACTAACATATTTTTGAAGCACACTTAGAAAGAGGTAATGCTCAGATGTTAGATGAAAGAATGTCAGGAAAACTTGGTGCTAAACTTGCAAAAACATACTTATAACTAATAACCTCATATGTTTATATTATCATTACACATTTAATGTACAAATACAAGTATAAACCTACAAAAATATTCCAAAATGTTGACAGGACTTAATGCTGAATATCAGGACACAACTGACGTTCATTTTCTTCCATCTCCTAGTTGTCAGTTACCTGGTACTACTGGACTATCGGAATCCCAGAACCTCCCCTCCCACACGAGGACAGAGGCAAGAAAACCTGGAGGTGCAGTAGCTGAAAAGAAACTCAGACGCAGACTACTAGCTCAATTCCGTTTTCTGCAGTAACCAGCATTTAATCATCCCCTCCTCCAGCAACGGGGAAACAACACAAGTGGGCCTAGAGAGTCAAACGCCAATAAGGGCAAACAATGAGGCCCCAGTAAGATAGTGGCCGCCACTCCAGGAATCAACGCCCTGTGCGTTGCCCGGTCGGGGTCCCAGGGTTAGGGCTCAGCCTCCTTTACCCCGGCCAAGACTTAGGGGAACGGTGGGTCCCATGCGCCGAATGTTCCGCACCACCCGGACAAGCAGGTCCAGGAAGGAGTTGATGGAAATCTGGAGGAGGCCAGGGTCTTCAGCAGTCCATCTGCTAAAAGCGAGGGGTAAAGATCAAGTTCAAGGTGATGACTCTCTCTTACACCCAGCACACCACACCCGCCCCGGAGACCTGACACTTGAGACCGAGTCTCCCTGTGTCCATCACCGAGCCCCTCCGGCTGAGATTGGCTCTCAGGCCCTGAGCCCTTGCCGCCACCCCCATCTCAGCTCCGTGTAGAACTGACACAGCCAGGACGCTGCCGTTCACGGCGCACTCCTTCTGAACCGCCTGCTGGTGGCGTTGGGTTTCTGGGGCCATGGCCCTGCGGGCCATCTCTGCCTCCAGGGGGGACCGGAAAGGCACGGTGAGTGTGCTGGGGGAGGCATGGTTAAGGCACCATCTGCTACTGAATTTGCTGGTGCCCCAGGCTTCGCACGTCTCAGAGGCTGGCCTTCACCCCAGCTTCCCCTCAGGCCGTCCACCCCCACCCTCACCCTCGAACACACAAACCCAGTCCTGCCAGCTCAGGCCACCCTGGGCTGCCCGCCTCCCTCCTCACTCAGTTCACCCTGTCCCACCTCCCCCGCTCCTTCCGGCCTGTGTCCCCACCCTCCAGCCTCCTCAGGCGTCAATTCCCCGCCCCCCC